CGAACATCAACAATCTTGATATTGTCCCTTCATGAATGGAAAACAAATAAGTACGACTCTTCTCTTATCCGATCAAACAAGATATATTATCAAAAGTAAAATTTCATTCGTTCAATTTCCGTAGTATTGAATAGAAGAATCAATCGCTCAATTCAGACTTGAAAATGAACAGAAGTAAGAACAAATCCGGGCCAGCCATCTCACAAGAAAACTTACGTGAAAAAGACATTGTTGTTTCAAACGAGAATCGAAGATATTACGCATGTGATTTTTGCGAGAAGAAATTTCGACACAAACCGCATTTGCGCATCCATCAAAAAACAGTCCATGACGGACGGAGAGATTACGCATGCGACAAGTGCGATAAGAAATTTGGACAAAAATCAGATATGCTAAAGCACCAAAAGACAGTACATGAAGGACGCAAAGATTACGTATGCGACAAGTGCGATAAGAAATTTGGACGAAAACCAGATTTACTAAAGCACCAAAAGACAGTACATGAAGGGCGCAAAGATTACGTATGCGACGAGTGCGAGAAGAAATTCGGACTGAAACATAATTTGCGTATGCATAAAAGAACAGTCCACGAAGGTGGAAAAGATTACGCATGTGGCAGGTGCGAGAAAACATTTGGACAAAAATCGGCTTTGTTGAGGCACCAAAGAACAGTACACGAAGGTCGGAAGGATTTTGCATGTGAAAGGTGCGAAAGTAAATTTGGAACTAAATCAAATTTACTAAAGCACCAAAGGTCAGTCCATGAAGGTCGCAAAAATTATGCATGTGACAAATGCGAGAAGCTATTTGGACAAAAAGTAAATTTGCTCACTCACCAAAAGACAGTCCATGAAGGTCGAAAAGATTACGCATGCAACAACTGCAACAAGAAATTTGGGGAACGAGGCAATTTGATAAAACACCGCAAAACAATTCATGAAAGTCGCAAAGATTATGCATGTGAGAGGTGCGAGAAGACATTTAGGATTCGTAGCAATTTGATAGTACACCAAAAAACAGTTCACGAACGTCGTCAAAATTTCTCACGTAACAAGTGCGGAAAAAAATTGGGACGAAAATCGCATTTGCTTACTCACCAAAGGATCGTACACGAAGGTCGAAAAAATTACTCATTCGACAAGGGCCAGAAAAAATCGGCTCACAAACCGAATCTGTTTCTGTACCAACTAATAGCCCACGAAGATATCATAAATTTCGCATGCGACAAATGCGATAAGAAATTTGGACTTCGGTTTAATTTAGTCAGACACCGAAAAAAAGTACACAATGATTGTGAAGATATGAACGCAATCATTGAATCTCGTACTCAGAATCACTTTTTCGAGTTAATTTAAGAATATAATTAGTTTAGAAATGTCTTCTTTCTTTGTATCATTCGATACGATTTTTCAATGTGACCAAGCCGATACATTATTTTTGTACATATTTTATGTATTGAACAATTTTACGTTTACATTTATTCGTCAATAAACATTTTTCATCAAAAATTTATTCAATTAACTATATTTTAATCTATTTATTTCCGACATTTCAATCGATCACGCATTTTTCTAGCTTCGTATATAATCTTAAGCAATGTTTTTACCAAGTGTCCAATGAAAAACCCGCCGCCAATACATTGGCAAATGGCTAACGCGTGAAAAATATTTTTATACAACATTTTTCACATTAACACATGAAACTTTAAATAAGCCTAGAGGTCTTTAGAAGTTGGTGTAAATTTACCTTGAACAGACGGTACATTTTTATAAATGACCACTATAATATAAACTAACTAAACCTTTAATATTGATAAACTAATTGTATTATAATAATCATAATGCTTGTATTCAAGCTAATGAAAAAAGGATACGTTATAAAAGTACAGTAAATTCTTAGTTCATATAATTACATTCCTATGTTAGTTAGAAGGCCGAGAAGGCCAACATACACACCTACAAACATCTATTGGTAATTCAATGTGGTTTTTTCCATCTGTGTAAACCAAATTTCCTACGACGTCTGTTTCAAAATTTTATTTTCAAGCTTATTGCATAGCTTACTCTACGAGAAAGCAAAAAATAGGAATGGAGGAAATTTCTCATATCAAATTAAAATTCATTCCATACCATACCTACTATTGCCATCGTTCCTGTTTAATTTGTGGAATTTGGCGGAATGGATCAGATGAAATCCTGGTACATGTGTTGTATTGAAAGTAAAGGATACTATATTATAATAATAAGTCCAAAAATTTAAAAATTAAACGAATATATTGTAAGCTCACAAGAGTGAGAGTCACTTCGGAGTCGGTACCGTCGATGTCCACCATGTGGTATCACATCAGTCGCCATTGCATTTGAAGTAGTTTCCTCAACAAATGACTATCGGTAGAATCTCTTGAAATTTTAACGACATTATTTACAATGCTTTTCATATGTGGAAGAAATTTTAGAAACCACAGCAAACGATGCGCTTTCTTGTGTTTTTGACCCTCAGGAATCCGAATATGATATTATTTTTTGCCTCAACCTCCATAATCAGGGTGAAAAAAGAGAGTGAAATTGTTATTCGCATATATTTCCAAAACTAAGCAAAATACGGGAAAATGTATAACACCAACGATTCCTTATGAAATTTTACAGAGAAATACATTTTGAATTTTTAATGCGTGGCTAGCCAACACGGCCGACGGTTGACTAATATTTCGATATCGCGAACGATTTTACACTTACACTTTAAAAATATCAAATGTATTTCTATGTAAAATTTCACGAGAAATCGATTGGTGTAATCCATTTCGTTTCTCACCCTGATGCCGGGGATCGCTCCAGTATTGATGAATTTTCAATAAGACACTTTTGTATTTATATACTTTCTAAAAATGCAATTAAAAAATAATCAATTTTTAGAAAATTCTAAAGATACAGTAAATCCCTTGAAGCTCGGAAAATCGTAATGATTTCCCAGCCCCATGGAAGATAACGCAGCAGTTCTCGCGGCACCACCACCTGCGCGGACGATCGATCAGCTGATCCGGAAGCCGCGGAGGAATCCGACGTTTCGCACATTGTCGCACGCGCGTATCTACGAAAACTCGCCATCGAAATGTTACGTTCAAAAAGTCACCGGGCTATATTCTCCAAATGGTGCGTGATTACAGATGCATCGTTCGAGCATACGCGTGTACGAGTGCGTATATTTTACGAGATCTGCGGGGTATATATATATGTTATACTACTCGCGTACACGTGTGCATAAAAAGAGAGAGACGCGCGCGATAAATTTTCTCCTTGATAATCTCTCTCTCTCTCTCTCTATGCTCGCGGCCATATCCGCACCGCCAAAAAATTTTTCTCTCTCTCCTTCGTGTACGCGCGGCAGAGGGTAAAACTTCGTCGTCGTCGAGCGCGCGGGTTTTTCTTTCGATCGCACACACGCATATATATAGGGTACGGTTACATTATAAGCTAGAGCTAAGGCAGTTAACGACGACGACGACGCTGACGCATATATAGAATACGGCTTTGCTCTGCTCCGCTGCTGCTGCTGCTGCTGCTGCTCTGGCGCTGCGAAAGAGAGAGAGAAACGCTTTCAGCTATTTTCGTGTCCCAGGGACAATACTCGGCGACGAAAGTCGCAAGCTCTCTTTCTCTCTCTCTCTATCTCTATAAACTTCTCGAGAGCGAAGCGCGGAGAATCGCCATCGACGTGACTCGAGCTAATGTGTGTGGCTGTAATGTATATCGAATTTATAAACGATAATTGCAAATAGCTGTATACTCTGTGCACATATTATATAGCTTGTATTTTTTTGTACGATATTCAGATAGACGGAACTCGTGTTGTCACGATGCGTAACTTATTTCGATTTATTCTAGTTAAGAAATTTTTTTTTAAATGTTAATAACCTTTATAAAAAAATCAATCGACGGAAGGTTGAAAGATCGTTTTCTTCTGTGTTTTCTACTGTTTTCAAAATAGCTTGACTTTCATCTGTTCAACGTTATGTCAAATTTTACAACTTATCGTTTGATAAAAATGTTTTTCATGCCTTACGAGGCTTTTTCCCTATATACTTGTGTCCACTTATTCCTTAACAGAATGTATTCTGTCAGGAATGATAAAATAATAAATGTGAATCTTATTATTTCAATATTTTTCGTGCATACCGTGCCATAGATAGAGGATCAGGAAAAAAAATACGAATAAATAACTGGCTCCGATTATGAAATTAATAAATCATTGATAATCCAATGTTCTAATACATTAAAATCTCAGTACATTATATAAATGATGATTGCAATAAATCATGGCAGCAGGACGATGTCACAATTTCATCAATTTTATTCGTCATAGTCTCTTTATAGCCAAGCGCAAAGCCAACAGTGTCAATTACACTTCAGAAAATTAATAAAATCAGTCACTTGCAATTCTGCCACCAACGAGTGTCTTCGAAGAAACGTAAAGAAGTTTATGAAGCGCTTATGGGTCGTTCCAGATCGAGATTCAAATAAGAGAGGTCGGCGTGCGCGACGATGATCGTCAACTAGGCGAGACCCGCATATCGCTATGCATTCAATTCAAAACGTTCTCGCGGTGCCAATTACTCCTATTGCACCAAACGCTATACCGGCTATTTTTCCAACTACACCAGGTGTGCCGTTCAGTTTTTAAGTTAAAAATGCCAAGAACGTTGAAAAAAATACCTTTCAAAAATTTAATCAGAAGTAAGTCGAAAGTGTTTATTTATGAGGCTCGGAACTGGCAATTATATAGCAATTGTCCAATATTTTCCCGCTCGCGAGGAAAGTCCCGAGCGAGGTTCCATCATCTATTGGCAAGTCGCTGCAGCAACGCTTAAAAAATATTTCAGCTTACTCGACTGGCAAAGTGTCCATACAGCGCCATCCCTCGGCGCGATCGTCGACTACTCGCCTCGCGTAGCAGAAGCCGCACAACAGGCGAGCGAGAGATAAACAAAACCCGAAGTTTCGTAATGCACCGCGTCGTCGGCGATCAGTGAATACGTTTGTGTATATGTCACATCCTCGTCATGTCCGCCGGGTCGACTTTCGTGTTCGCCGTGCTGCTGGTGTGCTTCTACGTGCTGTTCGCCTTGAGCTTCCTGCCCACGGCGACGACCGCCGTGTCCGTCGGTGCCACGGTCAAGGGCTTCGTCGAGGGCGAAGGATTTCATAGGTTAGTCAACTCGTTGGGGCCAATGTTTTGGTCTGAAATAATTGATGAGTTTCTTTTGTTTTTGACAGAACTGTCAGGTATACGGTGGATACAGGTAGCTGGAAAAACAAAAGCTGCTTCATAGCACTGTACGAAGAACTGCCATCCTCTGTTTACGTGAACTATGATGAGCTAGCTGATCTCAGACGTAGGCAAGAGGTAAAAAACATTGATTGCTCTGATAAAGAATTATTAATTTTGAATCAAGATGGCTGATTAGCATTTGTCGTTGCAGAGTAATGCTTGCGTAGATGGTGAAATTGACGTGGAGCTGTTTGGCGAGAGAGCCTACGAGCAGGACGTAACAGCTTGCGCACAACTGATAAGTACAAAAACTACTCTGTCCTTTCCCATTCATCAGCGCTATCACTTTTCTAATCCGTCTGGAGAGCCTGTCGATGTAACTCTAGCTAGACCTGTACTTTTACTAGGATGCAAGGAAAGAATCAAAGATCATAGAGTTTCAAAGGCAAAAATATGCTCGCCGTGCAGTGAACTCACCAAGAAATGGAGAGACGTGTATTACATTTGGGTAAATTTTTATAAAGTTACAGTACAGTAGATTTCATTCTCTCAACTCATTCGACGAATATTTTTCTGCAGGAGGGCTACAATGACTTTGAATGGAAGATACCAGTTGGCAATACGAGTAGAAAATTCCTAGTCACTAGTATGACACACCTGGTGACTCTCACCGGAGCAGCTTACGTACTGTGGACTATACACAAATCGTTCAAAGTACCAAAAAAGTCCAAAGATAATTAAAAGTGTTGAAAAAGAGAGCGACACGAATGGAATTCTTAATTTAGAAAAATCTGCCAAGCAGATTTTGCATAGCATTTATTTACATGTGAATCATTGCATTTCTAAACTTTGTACATAAAATTATATAGCTTACACTATGTGATAAGTCGAATCGACTAATAGTAAGTACGCTGCAATACGCAATACGCAGCACTGTTAAGAAATTAAGTTCTACGTACGATAAAAATTAATCGATTTGTAAAAACAGAAATTTGTAGATAATTAAATACAATTGAAACTTATGGTCTAGAATAATTGTTCGAACATCATACAATATACAGTATTTTAATACATGATTATCTATGTACAACGGTGAGATTGATGAGACTCCAGTGCGTTTATATCCACCTCTCGCCTCGTGGACGCTTATCTCTCGATTTTTTCCTCGATGACGGCGACGTTGCTGCCGATGACGTTGGCCTTGGTCTGCTCGCTGCTGTAGATCTCGGTGATCGGTATGGGCGGCACGGGTCGCCTCGCCGACAGGGTCGAGCGCCTGGCCGAGCAGCTGCGCTTGATGGTGGCGTCGTTCCAGGACTGCACCTGCACCGAGCCGAAGCACAGGAAGGTCGTGGCGCCGGCCGCGTAGATGCCCGCCGTCAGGAAGAATATGCTCCTCCACTCGGCCACGTTGGACGGATCCTTGACGACGTAGCCCTGCACCAGAGGCGCCAGTATGCTGCACACGTTGGCCGCGGCATTGGTGAAGCCCATCAGCGGCCCGGCGTAATTCGGCGACAGATCCATGTGATTGGCGTGATGGCCGCAGTAGATGGCGATGTTGCCGGTCACGGCCAGCACGAGTATGCCCACGGCGAGCAGCTGCTGGCCCGCGCCGACGAAGCCCAGGCCGACGAGGGCCAGTGCGGGGAACACCTCGCCGAAGGTGTTGCAGATCATGCGCGACGAGCGCGTGCTCAGGCGATTCTTGCGTATCGCCCAGTCGGACATGATGCTCACGGGGAAGCTCATGAGCCAGGCGCACAGGTAGGGCAGCGACGAGATCAAGCCGTTCTGTAAACATTAAATGCACCAGGAAGTGAGCAATCGGTAGTTACAATCGGTATATAATCCTCGCAACTCACGTTCTGTATGTCGTAGTGCAGCACCTTGTCCATGTAGCTCGGTATCTTCGAGAGCAGCATCCAGAAGCCCCAGGACTGCGAGCACTGGGTGACGAGGAGCGCCCAGACCGGCACCGAGGTCAGTATCGCGCGCCAGGGCGTCGTCACGGGCGCCGTGGTCTCCACCACCCCGAGACTGCTCTCGATGTAGAGGCGCTCGTCGAAGGCCATCTCCGTGTGCTCGGCCGGGGACTCGCGACCGGCGAACTGCCAGAGCACGGCCCAGCCGAGCGACAGGCTGCCCCAGAAGTAGAAGCACGAGGACCAGCCGAGCAAGGAGCCGGCCAGCAGGCCGGAGCTTTGGAGGGCGATGACGTTGCCGACCCAGCCGCCCGAGTAGACGAACGAGGCTGGGAAGAGAAAGGAGAAGAGAAAGAAAAGATGATTTGGCTGCGCGATCTAGCGCGGAGCTTGAATTCAAGAATAGTTATGTAAATCGAAATAGTGCACTGAGAAAAAAAATTCATTGATTCAATGAAAATTTAATTAAATACAATCTATGAAATAATTTCATTGAAATAATCGTTTTTTCTTTAATTTCATGAAACCAAAGAAAAAAAGATTATTTCAATGAAATTATTTCATAGATTGTATTTAATTAAATTTTCATTGAATCAATCAATTTTTTTCTCAGTGTGGAAATTTTCTTTTTGTGATAGTAAAATATGTTCATTCTACGCCTGATTGACAAAAGAAAACTTTTACCCAAGCTCTGAAATACCACTTACATCAATTTAATCATAATACTAAATATTGTAATTGAATTTACTGGCCGCGCGAGTCTGACGTGAGTTCTTCATCAATATTGATCTATGGGGTGTGGAAATCTTCAAAAAAAGTAACCTCATCCAATTGAGCGAAGATGAATTTGAAAAGAAAAGTTTACTTCTCTTCCAAGTGCTTAAATATGGCATTTGATTAAATATTGATTTTCTTAAAAATTGTCACATTTTAACGTGTATATAAAGTTGTACACAATTTTTCCAAATTCTGCTCCGTTCAAGTCGATGAGGTACTTTTCTGAAGATTTTTACACCCCTATACAAGAATATTGATGAAAAAAACTTTTCAAGATCATGTAACAAGTGATATTTATAACACAATATTCAGGACTATGATAAAAGTGATTAAATTCATTTTCCTGAGCTTGGGTAGAAGTTTCTTTTGGTCAATCGCGCGTAGATAATCACAAAAATAAAATTTCCACCATTTCGATTTATACAACTATTTTTTTTTAATTCAAGCTTTTAATCGAATCGTTAATACACTTACTGAAACGACCTCGCTCGGGCAGCGGCACCCACTTGGCCAGCAGCGTGTGTATGATGGGCGGCACGACGCCCTGACACAGACCGCAGAACACTCGACAGGCGCAGACGAGCTGATAGTCGCCGTAGCGCGCCGCGATCGGTATGGCGAGGGTGGCCAAGCCGCAGAGGCCGACGGCGGCGCCGTAGAGCCGCTGGGCGCCCCAGCGCTGCGCCACCATGCCGCCCGGTATCTGGGTCAGCACGTAGCCCCAGAAGAACGAGCTCAGCATGAGATTCTGCGTGGACTCGTCCCAGTCGAAGTGCTGTATATATGCGATATAATGTATATAATGTGTATAAGATCGGTTGAATTTTTTTTTCTTTTCTTTCGTCGTATATGTACTCACCATCGGCTTGGTCTTGTCGGACATGGCCACGACGGCGACGGACATGCAGACGCGCATCGCGTAGCAGCACAGGAAGCCGCCGGTCAAGAGCAGCGCCTGCACGTGACGGGCGCCGATCTTGTCTGTGTGTGTATGTAGTGTGTGACCACCGCGTGGACACAAGAGCGGCGCATGATTAGAATTTTTTATGAGCAAGTTTAATGGCATATAATATCGTATGAACGAATAATGCGGCGCACGATCTCCGCAATATCAAGTACGAGAGAGAATTAATTCATTTGTAAGCACGTGCTCGCCTATGTTTGGTATACGTTCGATAAGGATATACATTTTTCTATGCGTCTCCTATATTTACGCGCATTTTACAATTGAGAGCCTAAGATGGAAAAATTAAGAGAGAAAAGAGTCCGATCGATTCCACTCGACTCTTGTCTGTAATATTATTATGCATGCGTAAAATATTCCAATGCGTATCGCGGAAAATCATCGGGCAGCCGCTTCGTCGTCGTCGTCGTCTTATCGTCGTGCTGTCGGCCGGCGACGAGCGGACACTTTATCATAATATAGTACATGCATTAATTCATATATTGACGCGGCGGCATCGTTATATATATATTTGTTAGAAATAACGCGAAGGAAAAAAAAGCGAAGATAAGCAATATACAAATACACGGCAAGGTTCAAAAATCATTACGCGAACGCGAGATATGTGCACGAGTGCACATTCCGATCGTCGCGTTTCAATATAAATAAAAGGCTTTGGGGTCGTTCGTCGCGCGTTTGATACCGATTTTTCATCCGATTATTATATTTATCGATAAACGTGTACGTATAATATACGAAAAAGGATTCGCGAATGCCACTCGCAGCGGCTACAGCTACCTCCGCACGTGCGACTCGGTAATAATAACAACGAATGATAATAAGCCGCGGATTCCTGTGCACACCTGTGAGTGTGTGTGCGACTTACTACAATTATACGATAGAGCACGCATACACGCGCGAACTCGCAAATCGTTATCGGGCACATACTCGGCGTTATGATACATATACACGCGATCGGCATACATTATTACCGATCCGTATACGTGTGTGTGTGTGTGTGTGTGTGTGTCGTCGTTCGATTGGAAATTGATTTTTTTTCTCTCGTCCGAGGCTTTGTTTATAATAAATATACAAATAATCTCATTGCTAATATCGAGGTATGCGCGCGCGTATTTATTAAATATGTGCCGCGCGCGTCGTTGTCGCCTTAGTCGTGTCAACTTGCAAAATCAGTCCAAGGAAACGATCGCGCGCATATACGAACGCGTGCGTAAATGTCGAGTTGAACGATGTATTTCGCGAGGATTTTTTGACCTACGAGACGAGCCAATCGCTAATGAAAACGAATTATTTTTTTTTTTTTTACTAATTGCTCGTCTAATCGGTCATTATACCACGTCGCGTACACGGAATAATAAACGATCTCGATCGGGCAGCCGAAAATCCTCGTCGCTGTTTTGTTTTTTTTTTTTTGTCGCTCGATCGATCGTGTACATAATAATTGACGCTCGCGCTCCGTGGCGGTCTCGCGCGCGTATCGAACGTTCACCTCTCGTGTCCGCTAGCATGTGTGTTTATTATAGCTCCATTCGCGCCTCGAATCACCGCGACCACGGGCTTAATTTTCCGTGTGTGTATGTACTTATCGTAGACCGTACGTATTTGTACAAAAAAAAAATGTACGAAACCAGACGAATTTTCGTGACGCACATTTTTTTTTCTCAACGCGTATACGCGATATCTAAGCGAAAGAAGAAAAAAAATCCGCGTGATCCTTGCCGATGACTGGCGCAGGGGCATCACATGCTCGCACAGCTGACGGATTCTCTCGTCGGATTATAATACATATAATGTGGTACGTATGTACCCACGCGCGCCAGTCATCGGCTATATGGACTCGCGGGCACGTGTGTGTCTGTGCGTCAACGTCGTCGTCCGACAAATGCCATATTATAATAATTTAATAACAGCGAAATGTCGCGATTGTGTCGCTCCGCATACTCGCCGAGCAATAAATTTTGTTTCGTTTCGTTTGAAAAACTGCGCGCTTACTTGTACTAGCTTTTAAGTAGGCAATTTTTTTCAGTTTCTTTTTTTTTACGTAAGCTTTGACGCGTTCGAACGAGCGAGGGCTCTTACACACACGCACGTACAATAAATTTGTTTTTGCTTTTTTTTTTCGTTAATAGCGTGTGTGGCAGCTCGTATACACTCGCCATTAACGATAAGAGAAACGACAACGCCGCGAGCTTGGAGCGCAGTTGGTTCAATTTCGAAGTAGAGTGGCAAAAGTGTAATAAATTTTTTTTCTTCTTTTTCTATGCTTTTTTTAGCGCGTCATAGAGCGAAGATTAGTCCGGTAATTATATGCATGTAAGCGGACTTTAAAAAACATCGATATAGTTTTGAGCGCATTAACGGCTGTATTCGATTAAGTTGAACGAACAATGAGAGCTGGCGAGCATTAAAATCACGTCGTCGTCGGAGGCGCGTGCGATAATTGACGTGTGTGTATATAAGCCGGTTGTTAATTCCGCGCACGAATTTATTTCTCTCGCAACGAAATCGTTTTTATGTTTCGACCTTTACGTTTTATTTTTTCAAACGCGACAGTTGAACTTAAAATTATTCCTCGAGGTATTTTAAATAATCAAAGTGTAATTTGGATGATTCGGTATGCTTATACAACGAAACAAAACTAATTTTTCAAGCACACACATAGCGTGGACGACTCACCTTTGGGTTTGACCGGCGCCTCCTTCATGTTGTCCGCCAAGGACACCCGTCTCAAGCTGCCTTGCCTCGTCATTTTTTTTTTTTTTCGTTCTAATACTTCAGTCCTCGCAAATAATTTAAAAAAGTAAAAAACAAACACAGAAAGTTGAGATAATTACGCGCACTCGAAGCCTCCTCGATGATCATATATGTAAATTAAATTAATACGAAGAAGAAATGAAAAGAAATTTAAAAAAGCTCGAGAGGATGATCCGCGAGTCCAGGCGAGCGCGCGCAAAGTGCAACGAGAGACTGCAGCGGGCCCCCGCGCGACCGAGTGCGTGCCCCGCGTTCACGTAGATTGTGCACGTGTGGCATCGACGAGACTATACGCACACCGAAGCGTTTCTCGCGTCTATATACGTGCACTACATATACGCGTGTGTTTGTGCATTTGTGCATTCACGAGCGAGCCCGAGCTCCGCGGATCATCGAAATCCGCGCGCGATCGGCACCTTTCCGGGGGGAGATCAATTACGAAGAGGAGAGAGAGAGAGTCACGTCTCTCGCTTCGAGGCACGCGTTTCTTCGGGCGGCTCTTTCTTCTCTCAGTCGCACGCACGATCGAGCTCGTAATCGGCCACGCGCGCGTGCATTCGATTCGAGTTATTTTTTCATTTTCAACGCATTTTCTCGGCTATACCGAATTTATACGTGCCGATTTTGAATGTGTTCAAGGTGAAAATTTCGATCGAATTTTTTTTCTCTCTCTCTCTCGTCCGTTATCGTTATATTATGCAAGAGCACAAGCGATTGGAATGCAGTCGTGGAATTTCATACAATTATAACGCCTTTTTATTCCTTGTTATTTTCCTCTTATACTCGTATACACACAAGTCCGACAAAATTCATAGACCGCGAGCAAACACAGATATCCAACGATTATATCGTTGCTTTCGAAGCTCGAGCGCACTCCTCGTCATCGTCGTCGCTGGATTGTCATTGGAAAAAGTGCACGACGACGAGCGGACTGACTCCGAAATTATACATCTCGCTCGAACGTATACGACTTGAGCTCGGTGTCGTCGACGCGGCTGGGATTATTCCAAGACTGAATCTCGGCTTTTCCAAAGACAATGTAGAACGCGTTGCTGGCGATGTAGACAGCCGCGGTGATGTAGAAGACTACGTGCCACTGCGTTACGTCTCTCTGCGAGCAAAGTATATATATAGAGATAGAGAGGAGGAGGAGGAAAGCGTGACTTTTTATTTTGTAAATTTAAACATTCGTTCGACTATGCAAACTATTGTGGGTTTACTGCGGTATCCTTAATTTTGTATTAATTTGAAGATCATGTATGTATCGTAAAAAAATGAAGCTCGGACCGGTAAAGAGTCGAAGTAAAAAGTTTGAACCTGTGCCGTCAATCGTAATTATAAAATCCTGAGACAATCCACACGTATTTTTTTCTTGACACGTTCAAAAGAGCTTGTTGTTCTGCATATTTAGACCGAATTGCATTTATTATCGATCGCGATGAGGATACATTTCGAAAAACTTGTTTAGTGACTAACAGAGAAAAAACATATTTTTTTCTATTAATTTTTCTGAATAATTTTTTGAGATCTGCGTGCGTAACTTTGAATCTGCGTGCGGTTAAGCTTCAATATCGTATAAAAACATTAAAATTTACCTAATATTTTAAAAGCTACTTCTTAAAATTGAAGAAGGGTTTTGCAAAAATTTTATGATTATATTTGTGTACCTATTAAAAAAATAGTATATTATGTTAAAAAAACAAAAAAAAAAGTATTATGTACATGGCTACAATTATAAAAGTTTCATTTTTCCGATTTTTGGCACGGGTTAAATCTTTTTATTTCGACTCTTTATCGGTTTAGGCTTCATGTGCAAACAAGCATGCTCAATTTTTTAGATCAATCAACGTTCAGCTTGAATTTTCTGAAAATACAACAGGGGAAAATTACTTGATACATAATTCTTTTGTGCTTAATAAATCTCTACCGTAAACAGTGACATCTCAGTAAAAAATAAATGATTTTGTGTTTAAAAAAAATGTCCCTTTGAAAGTGTACAAAAAAAAACAAAAGTTGCCCTCCTACGTCAGACGTAAGAGGGACCACTTTTTTGTGTAGGTTACAGGTATGAGGTATGAGGTACGAGGTAGCGGGTGTCACAAAGGCACCAAACGTTCAATAGCGGATCAATTCGGTGAGATTTCGGGCGACGGAATTCGAAACCGTGCTTGGGTCGGATTCACGAAACGCCGTGCCTCTTGTCTCACTGAGCTATCTGCCTGTGCACCCATTCGTGACACAAATTTAATTTACAAACATTACCCGCGTGCCCTCGTTATTATTATTATTGTTATTATTATCGATCGCTCACCTCGTCCGTGACGACGAAGCCGCAGGCGAGCGGGGCGAGTATGCCGCATACGTTGGCGACGAAATTCGTCCAGGACATGATGGCCCCGGCGTAGTTCGGGCTGAGATCGATGTGATTGATGAAGAAGCCGGCGCTGACCGCAGCCTGGCAGCCGACGGTCAGCGTCAGGATGGCCACCAGCAGCAGCTGCGAATCGTCGTTGTTGTTATCGACACCGTGGGGCACGTGGCACAACGCGAGCATACCCAGGGCCGGCAACCAGAGGCCGAGACTGTTGCAGACCTTGCGGGCGAGCTCGATCGAGCAGCGACGTTTGATGGATAGGTCCGAGAGGTAGCCAACCGGAAAGCCGAGCAGCCACATGAGTAGGTAGGGCAGAGTCGAGACGAAGCCGCTCTAGATAATATGAGTAGTGTTGGGGGGTTTTTTCAATGTATTTTTTTTCTTCAATTGAACATTGATAAGCCATGCTCAGATGTCAAAGAAGCTTATTGGAATTTATGAATTGAAAAAAAAATTTTTTATCAAAGTATGAAATGCTCGTTTTATATTTTATAATTTGACACTTGATTTTTTTAAAATGTTAAACGAATTTTTATTTTAAGCTTTTACAAAAGATATAAAATGTTACTTCTATACTATTGAACTTTTGACTTTGATTTGACTTTTGTGGTGAGCGCATAATTTTATTTTCTAGAAAAGAGAAATTTACTTGGGCCACGTCAAAGTTCAAGGCGTACTTCATGTAGCTCGGCATCTCCGTGAGCAGCGTGTAATTGCCCCAATTGTAGCCGCAGTGGGCGACGAGTATCGACCAAGCCGGCAGCGACGTCGAGATCGCTCGCCACGGCACTTCCTTGTCCTTCCTCGGCGATCTTTCGATCGAATCACGCATCGCACCAGCCGAAACGATGGGATCGTCTTCTTTGCGATCAACTCTCGGCCGATCCGAGCAGATCCAGTAGAACGCCGCCGACCAAACGACACCGAGGCCCGCGAAGAAGTAAAATATGGCCGGCCAGCCGTGCCGAGTGTTGTGCGCCAGGGCGGCGGCGATCGGCATCGACACCACCACGCCGAAGGGCGGCCCGTTCATCACGAAGGCGCCGAGGCGGCCTCGCTCGGCGGCGGGCGACCATCGGGCGAGCAGCGCCTGAGCGCAGGGGAACAGACAGCCCTGACCGAGGCCGGTGCAGAGCCGCAGGAGGACGATCGAGGGTACGCCGCCGCGCGAGGCGGCCAGAGGCAGCAGAGCCGTGAGAAGGGAGCAGAGCAGCATGCCCGAGGCCAGCAGCTTGCAGGGACTCCGGGTGCTGGCGTAGTGACCGCTGGGCAGCTGGGCCGCGACGTAGCCCCAGAAGAAGGAGCTGAGGATGGTGCTGCTGACGCGAGAGCTCCACTGGTACGTCTGAAATGTCGGAAGAGATATCGCGCGAGGATTTATTGTTTATTTCCTTTTTCATGGTGTGAAACATCTTTGCGCACTATCGTGCATGTTTTCAAACCTTTTATTTATGTTAAGGGGACACACCTGTGTTTATGCCTATAAATAAAAAACATGAAAATTAAGGATTAATATTAAAATTTTTTGTTTCTGATGTAAAAATATGTTTTTACAGGTACTTTTACAACAAAAAATATGTCTGTAGTTCCTCTTAATATTAAAAATCATCCATCAAACATGCCTATTGACTTGTGATTTCTAAGTCATTAACCACATGACTTTGATTTTGAAAAGTTTTGTTATAAAATCCTCTTCCACTTAAGTGTAGCAGATTTTTCATTTAGTTATTTTTTTAATCTATTAATCTCCAAATATTGCAATAAGCGTTATTAAAATAGCTATTTTTGTCTTTTTTTTGTACTTTCGAATGAAAAAAATTTTCCAAGCCTTTTATTTAAATTCTGTTACACTTGAGTGGAAAAGAATTTTATTACAAAACTTTTGAGAGAGCAAGGATCCGGATTGGTGAAAAATTGTATTCAATATCATGCAGTCAATGACTTGGAAATCACAAGTCAATATACATGAATAATGAATGATTCTTAATAATAACAGGAACTAGAGACATATTGTTTGTTGTAAAAGGACCTATAAAAACATATTTTTACACCAGAAACGAAAAATTTTAATAGTAATCCTTAATTTTCATGTTTTTCATTTATAGGTATAAACACAGGTGTGTTTCCTTAAATAGATGAGAAGCTACAAAAAATAAAAGATCATACAATTTTATCAACAAATCAAATTGATTAAATTAAATCAAACAATGACAAAAATTAGAAAAAATTATTATTATTGTTTTAAAAAATTAATCATCACAAATTATAAGTTTTTTTTTGTTAAACTTATTAACCCGATACAAATCTTCGTTCGTCAACTACTCGGAGTCATCGTCTTCGCTCATTTCATCCAAAGTTTCATTCAAACTTCGCGCCAAAGCGATCGTCGCGCGTTTAAAGAGTCCTCTCAACGCTTTCTCGCAGACATGCATGGTGCAAGCCAGCACGAGCCTCGGCGTCACGGACGCGAGCCGCCTCGACAGCGCGTTCGTGCGGGCGAGCTCCCAGTAGTCCCTGTAACCGAGCCCGAAGGGCTCGGGCTCGTCGACTCGAATCAAATCGTGGATGCTAAGGTCCGGACGTATCATCAGCTGCTTGGCTTCGCGCGCGAAGTCCTCGTCGTTCCACCAGTCACCAGCGTCGTCGAGATACTGCCACTTCTTCTTCACGTACCGGGCCCAAAATTGCACGATCCACAGGGCGTTCTCGTGGCCGAGTGCGTAATCGTGTTTTTCCAGGCACTCGTAGACGCCCACGACACCTGCCACCCGTCTCAAGTGGTAATCGCCCTCCTGGCCTTCGTCGAGATTTTCCTCGTCGCTCTCGTCGTCGTCGGGGACAAGCACCTCGTCGAGATTGGCGCCGCGATCCATGAGCAGCTCCATCAGATCCGGCCGCAAATTTGTCAGGGCACAGTCCAGCGGCGTCCGGTCCAACTCGTCCTTGGCGTCGATCAGCAGCTGCCGATTCATCTCGTCGCAGATCGCCAAGAACGGCTCCATCGAACGATCGCCGTAGTCCGCGTGCTCGCAGATGACGTGCAGAGGCGTCCGCCTCGTCTCGTCGTGTTCGCGCGAGTTCGTATCGGCCCCTCGTCTCAGCAGCAGCTCGGCCAGGCTCGTGCGACCCCGCCGCAGAGCCGAGTGCAGCGGTGTCGAGCCCGCGTCGTTCCTCGCCTCGATGTCCACCACCGTCTCTCCTCCTCGCAGATCTCGAAGAGTATTTAACCGCAGCGACTCGATTAATTTAACCACACAACGCGAAGCCAGATGTTGCTTGTATTTTGGTATACGGACCGACGCTTGATATTATTTGGTCTTTATTTACAAAAATGTATATGTTGATAGATTCTGACACTAGAGTCTACATTTTCATTCTATTGATGTTATACTATACGCGAGCTTAGGATTTTGAAAAAATCAATGAATGATAAATATTAAAAATTTAAAAAAAAAAAAAATATTGAAAAAAATCAGCTACTTATGAATAGATGCAAGATGTGAAACATCTTTATCGATTAATTCAATACCATTGGCGAAATAACAACAACTACAAGAAACTTTAAATACATTGGTCAGGGGAATTTCGATGCAGTGATGATGTATTGGTTTCGCGCCACCACTGACGTTTAGTCTATGTTCGACGTGTGACTATGATTATGAAAGAATTTTCATTAATATTTTTCGTGTACCTCGTTCACAGCTGAAACTTTATTTTCACGCCAAACTTTCGTTGTAAAGACTTTCCAAAATTCATATCAATACATTTTCATCAATACATTCCAATATTTATGAAATTATAAGTTATGACATTTGATATTTATGAAATCATTTTTACTTTGCCACTTGCAGATTGACCGATAAAGGTACTCGCCATCTAGTCGTGGAGGTCGGCTTTATTTATGATTGAATTTTCGCAATGCGGATTGAATGAAGTCAGCATTATTGTGCTTTTTTACTTTAGCTATTAAATAGATTTTACACGTTTGGGTATGGATAAGATGGCTGCCGACGCGTAGGCACTTGAAAAATGTTATCGCTTGGGCGAGATGTGACAATATGAAAGATACATGAGTTGCGGTTGCGCTCGGCCAACAGACACTATCGTAGGGAATTTCTCCGATAACTATATACATCTCCAAATAATTTGACGCGGCATTAATCAATCAATAACGCCACAGTGAAGTTACAGACAACAATGGGGCAATTAATAAATTGCATTTACCCCAGAATTGAAATAAATTGTTCAGACGAATTTTTTGGTTTATCAATCCTGCATGAAAATTAACATAAAGACTTGATCAGTTTCGAGACCGATTAGTTACTTTATTAAAATTTTCAACGTTTAGTATCATTTTCAGAATTTCACTATTCAAATGTCGACTAATATAATTTCAATATTTATTATCATGTCTTCTTCATTCGTACAGAGAGGCTCTAAGTATTTTTCGATTACGTATTCTTTTGTTTAATCTACTTTCTTCGTAATTGTATTCATAATTTTCATTTCATCAATATTTTCTGTAGCGACCGTTCATAAACATAAGATAAATAATACAATTTCTTCCTCTAATCTCTTCTATAATAAAATTATAACGACTTAGTTTTGTTTGGTTCGGCTTTTCATTATAACATGATTTGTTAGTATTATTAAATTGAGTTCAAGTTAGATCGTTGGACAATTCCAGAGCGTTGAGTCATTAACGAAATTCATTGAGGATAAGATGGATTCCAGTCAAATATTCAACTCTCCCGTCAAGTAATTTTTATTTCATGAGAATGAAAGTATGAATAAATTTTTATAAAATATTACTTAATCTTAAACAATTATTCCAGGGTGAAAGAGGAACCTTCTGAAGTGTCATTTACTGAATGTGAGGACGAAATAACTGAGGAGTCAACTGATTATAAAATCGTCCAACTGTTGCCGTTTCGAGATAATTTGGTGAGAATTAATAATTATGAGCAACTGCTATCGTAATTGTTTTAAATGAAAATTTTTACTCAACTTTAACTTTCAACAGGTCCTTAGGATTCCAAGATGCGACGATATGATGATTGAATTCGAATGTCAAGATGTAAAGCCCGATAAGAATTTATTGCTACCAAAGAAAATGGATTTACACAAAATTAAAGAAGAACCGAAAGAAAAACTAAAAGAAGAAGTTGTCGACGACATGGCCGAGGAATCGAATTCGAATTTTGACGGTGAAGTCAATAACGATGTTGAAATTGAATTCGAATGTAAAGATGTCAAGCCCAGTGTGGATATTCTAGTAGCCCGGAAAGTGAAAAAAGAAAATTTGATTGACGGTGCAAAAGAAATGAATTTGAATTGTGAATCAGTCAAAAAAAATAAAAAAAGGAGAATTACAAAAAAGTCTGACCATCAAAACAGACCCAAAGCACAAAGTAATACAGTTCAAAGTGACAGCATCTCCGCGCATAAATCACGTGGAAAAAAATTTGCTCAAAAAAGTAAACTCAAAGTCGATTCGTTGCATAATAAAAATACTTTTGAATGTAATACATGCAAAAAGACATTTGCACAAATCGTGAGTCTCAGAAGGCACTTGAGTAGAACACATAATGGAGCCAGTCATGCATGCGATAGATGTGATAAGACATTTAAACGAAAAGATCACCTCAAAAACCATATTGATGCGATACACAATGGTAAGAGTAAGAGACTTAAATGCAAAAAGTGCGGAAAAAAATTTAGAACTAAGAATGTTCTCTGTGCTCACATCAGACAAGTGCATAGTGAAATCCGTCTTAAATGTGATATATGCGAAAAGATATTCGCCTGTAAAAATTATCTCAGAGACCACATTGTTTCGAAGCATAGTGGAATCAAATTTTCATGCGATACATGCAGTCAGGAATTCTCTACAAAGTCAAACCTCAAAAGACACGTCGACGCTCAACATAAAAAAAACTCTCATACGTGTGGTGCATGCGGACAGATATACAAATACAAAATAAGTCTTCATAATCACATGAGGCGGACACATAAAGATGTCACGCATCAGTGCGATACAATCGGTCAAAGCATTGCATAGTGATATCACCTATAACTATAAATGTGGAAAGACATTTCAAATACCGGGTCTAGCTACAACATCACATTGATTTGTTGCATAAAAAATTACTTATGCATGTGATGTATTTGAAAAGATATTCGCTCAACGAGGTAATTGTAGCGTCACACAGTAATGTCACCTATTCATATGATATAAATGTGGAAAGATATTTCCACGAATTTTATACGATAGGACAAACTCAAAACCCGCGAAAATTCGATACATAATGATATCATCCACGCCAGTGATACTCTTAAAATTAAAAAAATTAATTTTAAGAGTAATCTTAATGCTCACCATGACTGAATAAAAGTACGAACACCAATATTTATGAATAAATTATAATAATTTATGAATTGTACAACATATGGTCTTATGAAATTCATTAGTAACCCTTTCATCTCGAACAATCGCAAAAATATAAATTACGTCAAATGAAAATATACCTACGGGTACGCTCGGATTGATGGGGTTTGGATTTTTCATGGCGACGATCGCCACCGACATGCAGACCCTCAGTGCGTAGGCAATGGCCATTCCGAGGAACAAAAGCAACGCGAGGACGTGTCTCATGCCAAATCTCGCTGCGTACGAACAAAAATTAATAATTCACAATTACGTAAGAGAGATTTATGGAGATTAAAAAAAAATGTCATGCTCGCGTACCCATATTTATCGAGAAGAATTATGGTTTCTCGAGGCGACGAGAGCGCTGACAAATTAACACGCTACTTTGTGGAATTTATTATCACCTCGAGCGGTACATATTCGATACAAAGTAGCGAATGAAAAAGTTATGGCTAATTAATTGCGGCTTGTAGAACACGAGATTTCACACTTGATTCGCGCCCGCGGCTACTTTTAGAAAAACAGGTCGACGGCACTCGAGCATCGGTCGATTATTCGAATGACTACCGTTAATTTATGTATTTTTTTTTTTTTTTAACTCGCTCGTATTAATTTCGCATACGGCTTGCGACGCGCACAATCAGATCTAGAAGACTGTCGAATTTCATGCTGCGTCGAGATTACAGGATATCGAGCGTTTACGGTAAAATCGATGCATGACTAACCGGTGCAGCTGCGAGAAGGAAAAGTTCACGTAACGACCGGATGTAAAAAAAAGTCCTTGAGGTTCTGTTTCTTTCTTATGATGCAGTAATCGTGCCGACACTTTGTCGCGATAAATATAAATGTAACTCTAATCCGACCCCGATCTCTATCGTGAGACTTTTGCCGAAAAACAGCCTACTTTTTTTGCTCGGTCAACGAAAGCGGATGTGCACTGAAGCTAGGAGAAAATAAACCAGCGACGTTGAAGCTCCTTACGAAATTATATAAAATTTAATTTATTTATGTTACAAGAGAGATACAATAATAATTTTTTGTTATTTACAACTAGATCGCTAACGTATACTTATATAAAAAAAAGTTATATTTAACGGCAAAAAACGCAACCGCAGAAAAAAAACCTAAGCCAGACTCGCGTCCACTTCTTTCTTCTTGTCCTCGGGCACGGCCAGGGCGATCGGCTCGATGCCCAATGAGACGATGGACAGACGCGGCAGCTGGCCGAGCTCCCGCTTGCGCTTGATCTTCGGCTCGTTCCAGGGCTGTATACTGGCCTTGCCGAAGATCATGAAGATGAGATTCGCCACGAAGTAGATCGCCGCCGTGATGTAGAAGACGAGGTGCCACTTGGCCGGGTTGTGCTGTTAGAGAGAGAGAGAGAGAGAGAGAGAGAGAGAGAGAGAGAGAGAGAGAGATAAAGAAAAAAAAATACGTTGTACCGTTGTACGATCAGACCTTGAATTATATCATGACACACGCGTACCTCGTCGTTGTTGGTTATGATTCCGCAGATGATGGGCGCGAACAGTCCCGTGAGATTGCCGAAACCGTTGGACAGCGACATCATGGTACCGGCGAAATTCGGACTCAGATCTATGTGATTGATCTGAAAGCCCGACGTCACGCCTGCCTGAAAGCTCACGGCGAGCACGACTATGGCCACGATCACGGTGCTGTCGTCCGTCTCCACCAGGCACAGTATCACCATACAGAGGGCGGGCAGCCACAGGCCCACCGTGTTGCAGATCTTGCGCGTCGTGGCGGTGCTCAGGCCGCCCCTGCAGATGGCCCAGTCGGCGAACACGCTGATGGGAAAGCCCATGAGCCACATGCCGAGATACGGATAGGCCGAGACGAAGCCGGTCTCGGTGAGGTCGTAATCGAGGATGGACTTCATGTAATTGGGCAGCTCGGTGAGCAGAGTGTAGAAGCCCCAGTTGAAGCCGCTCTGGACGATGATGATCGACCAGATGGGCACGGAGGTGAGGATCTTGAGCCAGGGTACTTTGGATTTCTGTATACAAAATGGTGTTATCTCGTCGGTGCGTCGTGATTTGTTATCTCGAAAATATTTATTTTTATTTTAAAAAAGCATTAAATTTAATGAAAATTTTAATGAAACATTAAAATTGAAGTAACCGGTGTTGCAACTTATTTTGAATTAAGGGAAGTTATACACCAATTTCTCTCTTACACTATTTTCATAGCATAGAGAGCAGTTTCGAGAAAATACAATGATAGTATTAAAATTGTTCCAAAACCGCACTTGACTTATACACATACTTTGATTTTGCTACTTGCAGATTTACAGATTAATTTGTACTCGCCATCTAGTGGTGGAGGCTAGCTTTAACTGTGATCGAGTTTTTGGCAATTAACGCAAAAAATACATCGGTATCGAAACGTTCATTTTGAATTAAAAAGATTTGAATTAATTCGAGCGTAGAATTTAATCTTTTTTGTTAATTTTTGCAGTACAAATAACGTATGAAGTGTCATTTCAACGTATTTTTTGTGAAGTTAAAGGGATTTATAAATTATTTTTAGATGCAGAGGCTTATTCTGCATATTTTTTCACGTCTATGAGAACTTGAAAGTTTATTTTTTTTTGTAATAAAGGTATTATCTGAAAACTGCACTTTATATTATAAAAATAGCATAAGGGAAAAAATTGGTGTACAATACCCCTTAACTTCACATATGATTCATTGAAATGCCACTTCATACATTATGTGTACTGCAAAAATTAACAAATAGAATTAAACTCTACACTCAAATTAATTCTAAATTAACGTCTTAATACTGATGTATTTTTGGAATTAATTGCTAAAAAAAATGTATGGAAGTTCGGTCATAGTTAACTCCAGTCACCACCTGTAGATGGCGAGTACTAATTTATCTGTAAATCTGCAAGTGGCAAAGTCAAAGTAAGTGTATAAGTCAAGTTCCGTTTTGGAACAGTTTTGAGATTGTCTGAGATTTTGACTTGGATCGATTACAATGTAAAAATTGTCAACGGTGAAATCGAAAAAACGTGAATATCTAATTTTACAAACTAACTATACTCACGTTTGTGTGATCGTTGGCTCCCGTGCAACTGTTGATGTACTCGAGCTCCCTCGAGTCGATGCTCGGATGCTCCGACGGATAATCCACACCGATCCAGTAGAACGCGGCGCTCCAAGCCAGTCCCAACGCGCCAAAGAAGTAAAACACACCCGGCCAACCGGCCCCCGAGTCGGCCAACAGTCCGGAAATCGGCATCGCCAGTACCGTGCCGAACTGGGGGCCGTTCATGACGAAGGCGCCGAGTCTCGCCCTCTCGCCCAGCGGCACCCATCGCGACAGCAGAGTCTGACTGGCGGGCAGCAGACAGCCCTGGCTCAGACCCATGGCGATACGGCAGACAATGACGGCCACGTAGCCGCCGTGCTCGGCGAGCACCGGCACGAGCATGTTGAGCAGGGCCGAGCAGGCGATGCCGATCGAGAGGAGTTTCTGGGCGCTGCCCACCGTGCCGATGTAGCCCGCCGGCAGCTGGGTCACGAGGTAGCCCCAGAAGAACGAGCTGAGGATCGGCCCGGTCACGTTGGCGCCCCAGTTGTACGTCTTTCGAGAGGCGTTTAAAGATAATTCAATGTAAATTTTTTGTTGTTTCCTCGACGGAAATTTTTCTCGTGAGAAAGTTTTATCAAGTCCAAAAAAAAGTCTTAAAAAGTCTTACCAATGTTCGGATTTCGTACACCCGATTGATGATTTTAGTAAGAGTTTTTAAATATTCATAAAACCTTGTAGAGACTCGACATTTTGGCAAAAGTGTTAATTTTTTTTTCATTTTTTTCTATATTGTTCATATGCCTATACAGAACAAAAAAGTTTTTAAAACTATAATTAAAAACTTTCATAAACACACTTATAAACATTTTTTTAAATTAAATAAGCGATTGTCTTACCAGTCTGAATATTTCGGTAATCAAATATCAAGTTTCAAATACATTTTTTTAAATTTATTTATATCAATTAAAACTCTTATGAATTTTTATTAACTCTTAAAAATCGTGGTACGAAATCCGAACAATTATAAGAATTTTTAAGACTTATTCAGACTTTCAATGAGTTTTTACGAGTTCTTAAGACTTTTTAAGAATCAAAGTGGCGATGAATTTTCGTATGGATTTTAAATCTTATTTCATCGTAATCTGACTAACCGGTATATCCGGATGGGTGGAGTTTTCCGCCGTCATGGCGACGACGCCGACGGACATGCAGACTCGCAGCGTGTAGGCCACCGCCATGCCGAGGAACAGCATGAGCACTTGCACGTGCCTGGAGCCGAGTCCCTCTAAAAAAATACAAATAAATACGAAACGACGATAAAAAACATTTTTTTCGCTGTCTTTAAATTGAAACTTCGATTAAAGCACATAAATCGACGTTACTTTTTTTCGGCAACTGCTCTTCTTCCCTCGTCTCGTCCATTGTGTATCGTATGAATTATATATCTATTTATCGTGTATTATATCGTGATTTTTGCGCAGAAATTAATCGACAATTAAAATACCCGTGGCATAACAAACGTGGACACACTTTTCTATTACCATAATCTCACGCGCACTCGTTGTGTATCGTCACAATATTGTACTCTCTTGAATCAACAATAGCTCGCCGACGAATGTCAAAAAAAAAAAAGAAAAAAAATTATCTCGTCGCGATGTGCCTCGATACTACTACAACAATAATACAATAATAATACGAGAGATATTACTCGAATCTAACATCGCTTTCGAGTAATGCATATATACAGACTTGGGGCTACGATGCGTGTGCGCCGCGACAACGACGACGATCGTTAAGCCCGATAAAGTATAACCGGTATCTGGTAGGTGAGTGTGTGTGTGTGTGTGCAATTATATCTTTCCGATTATGCTCTTGACACCGAAATCGAGAAAAAAAGAAGAAAGAGGCGAATGTCGAGAAAGATCGTTCTAGCAGGGTGACGAATAATTAAAAATTAAAAATTAAATCAGAGCCACGATTCTTTCCCCTTTTTTCGTTATCGTTATATTTGTTCATGTATTATAAAAAATGTATGCGTAATCGTATATTATAAACATTTCGAAAGCTCGATGACATAATTTTTGATCTTTTATCTATCACGCTCGCTTTTATTGTCCCGTATCCGGCGCGCGCGACAATTTTTACCCTGCGCACCTGTACCCAATGTTGGCACCCTCGTTTCGAAAAAATGAAATAAAACTGAAGAAAGTTTGTTTGTTTTTTTTTTTTAATTAAACATTCCACGCGTAGATCACTTTTTTTTTATTTTCAAATCGATCACCACAGCAGCAGCAGCAGCAGCAGCAGCAGCAATGATAAGCGAACACGTTGAAATACCTTCGAATGTAATTTACAATCTCTCGTGTTCGCTAGATTCGAGCACGTGATTGTTTCGTAAATACATGTATACATAAATATCTTGACGAGCGATTAAAACAATAATATAAACAAAAGAATGTGAAATTTTTTTCTCTCTCTCTGGCTCTTTTTTTTTTATCTGATAGATGCGATACATGAAATTCTTGTATTGACCGCTGGCGATTGCAAATTTTCCAAGCCGCCTGTTTCGAGTCTTTTCTTCTCCTTTATTTTAAAATTAAAAATTACCTAAAATTTGTTATCTATCTAATATGAATAAAACGTAACGATTGTAATATATAAGTATAATAAACAATGACTAATTGTCACGACGAGTCGTCCGAACGAGCTCGATGTTTGATCTATCCGCGACACTCTCCACGTCCTGCGCCGAAAACGATACGTTCGTATTCGTGGTGTCATCGAAGTCGTAAAGGTACGTCTCTCCGCGCCCGAAGACCATGAAGATCAAGTTGATGAAGAAGTAAACGGCGGCAGTTATGTAGAATATCGCGTGCCACTGCTCGACGTCTCTCTGAAAGCAAAAAAATGATAAAAGATGTTTATAATGATCGTTGAAGTATATCGTTCAAATTCTATGCCACGCTCACCACGTCGACGATGATATTGCCGCAGACGATGGGCGCCAGTATGCTGACGCTCGTACCGATGCACGTAGCCGTCGAGTAAATCACCCCGACGTAATTCGGATACATCTCGATCTGATTGACGACGAAACCGCTCGGCGAGGCGGCCTGCAGTCCCACGGCCAGGGTGAGCAGCAGCACGGGCGCCACGAGGCTGTACTCGTCGACGAGGCAGAGCAGGCTGAGGGCCGCGGCGGGTCCCCACATGCCCACGGTGTTGCTGACGCGTCGCACCCGGGCCGGCGAGACGCCCCGGCGCAGCGCCAGATCGGACAGTCGGCTGAACGCGAACGACAGCAGCCAGTTGGTGAGGTAGGGCAGAGTCGAGATCAGGCCGTTCTATAAGAGAAAATGTTTTTTCAATGCGAAGATGGATGAGAAATGCTCAACGTATAGCTTTTTGGCTAACGAGAAAGTTTATTGGGCATGAAAAGGCCGATAGAACTGGATACGTCTTTATCGAAAGTATGCGGTTTTTTTTTGCCATTATTGTAATGATTTTTCGACTATGCATAATTCGTGCAAATTTATCATTTTACGAATTGCAGGAATTGACAAATTACATAGATTGTACTTCATTGTGATTATTTTGAATTTTCTACATTTTGAAAAGATCAAATTGACGGGGCGGGAGATCTACGAAGTATGCTCCGTAGAATAAAATTCAAAATCTTATACCCTCATTTTTACTGTGCCACTTGCAGATTTACTGAAATAAAGGTGCTCTCCATCTAGTGGTGGAAACTCGAAGTATCATTAACGTATCTAATTTTAATTTTTTCAAACGGTTAAATTTTCATTTGCCGATCAATTTTAATCATTTTAATATTTCTAGCATAATTTTAACGCAATGATTTTTGAAACATATCGAACGATCATCTCTTCGGCCAATCGAGCCCATTACGAATGTCGAGCATCTCTATTTTTAAATAGTTTAACGGCTTACCGTTCTGATGTTGAAGTCGAGGATGTACTTCATGTAACTCGGCATGCCCGAGTTGATGATGTAGGTGCCCCAATTGGAGCCGCACTCCGTGACGATCAGCGCCCAGAGCGGCACGCACAGCAGCACGTCGCAGCACGTCAATTTCTATCGGCAACGAATCCATCAAAATTATCGTCCAATTTTTTTTTTTTTTTTTTTTTTTCTATTTATTTCGCATTTACCCTGGCCTCGAAGCGAACGGCCTCGCGCCGCCTGTGCTCCAGTATGTAGTCGCGCTCGCGCGAGCACATGTTCCGATGGGACTCCGGGTCGTCGACGATCTTGAAGAAGATGACGAAGCTGCAGAGCAGCCCGAGCGAGCCGAAGATGTAGAAGATGCCGGGCCAGCCGAGGCTCGAGGCGGCGATCAGGCCCGACGAGGCCATCGCCACGATCGTGCCGAAGAAGCCCGCACCGGTGATCACCGAGCCTGAGATGCGAGCAAATTTTTTTAAAATAAATTTTCACGAAAAAAAAAACAAAAATCGGTTACAACGGGTATACGCGATTATTACTCACTCATTCTCGAGCGCTCGAAGGGCGGCGCCCACTTGAGCAGCAGCGCGTGGGTGCACGCGTAGAAGCAGGCGTGACAGAGGCCGATGATGAGGCGGGCCGCGCACAGCGCCACGTAATCGCCGTACGCCACGATCAGCGGTATGGAGAAGTTGACGCAGGAGCTGCAGCACAGGCCGACGGAGAAGAGCCGCTGGGCGCCGTACCTGCGCACGAAGTAGCGACTCGGCACCTGGATCAGCAGGTAGCCCCAGAAGAACGAGCTGAGTATCAGGGCCATCTCCACCGTCGTCCAGTCGTAGAACTGAGAGCGCGCGTGTGAGATCGTCGAGAGAAAAATAAGGTACATTCGTGCCGGAATATTGACTTTTTGAGTTATATTTACTTTGAAATTACAACGTTTACGCGTAAAGCCAATGATTTTTGTGTGAAAATTAAATTAAGAAGTAATATTGTTAAAATGAAAATAATATAATGTTGATTTACTCGACTAACGTATGAACTCGTAAGTAAAAACTTGAATACAGCTGTATTTTATAAAATTTAATTACGATAATTCGAATCAAAAGTAATGCGCTCTGGAACAATACAAAACTTTAATGCACTGAGAATTCAGACAAGCGTATTGAAAATCCTACAGGTGACTTTTCGGTTCAAGCAGTTCTTAAGTTACCCCTAGATGGCGTATGGACAAATTTTCGGAAACCAAAAGAGAATTAGCTAAGTTTTTGCATTAAGTACGAGATACTGCCAATCTATATGGCAATTTTACAATCGTACTCTCGTACTCGTACTCGTCTCTATATGAATTGATATTCGAACCAAACCGAATGTTGTAATCTCAATGCATTGATATTTGACGAGTAAGAGTAAAATTTAAATTCCACTGGAAATGTCGTTACAGTCGACGGCACATATATCCTACCGTGAAATTTCTCGCGTCGTTGGTGTCGGTCATGGCGATGATGGCGACGGGCAGCGACAGATTCATGGCGTTGCCCATCATCAGGCTGAGGGCCATGAGAAACACCTGGCAGTGCCGCGTGCCGTAGCAGCTCTCTGCGTGCCAAGCATTACTGTGTTTTTTTTTTATTATCGTTTTAACTTCATTTTTTTATTTACGTTGATTAAAATTACGCGAAGTGTAGGAAAAATGACGGGTAAAAACTTACGCTGTTTGGGCGACTCCAGGCACGGTTCGTCACTCCTCTCGATCGTATCGTCGCCCGACATTTTTCCACAAGATGTTTTGGGTTGTTTATTTTTCAAATTTACTCGAAACTGTATTGTCAATGGCTGAATGAAGAATAGTAGTCCCGGGAAATTTGACTGATCATACTTATATGTACCGAAAAAAAGAATCCAAAGTTGTTCTAATTAGGTCCGAACGATCGATCGCGCTGATAATAATTGTCATTAGTTAGCAACTATTTCGGCGTTTCATTGATTGACTATCGGTCATTGCACTGGCGCGGACCGACGCGGCGCGTCATTCGACAACAAAAACGTACAGTTCGTAGTAGCAAAACAAGTGTCTTTCCATTCACTTGGGGGCAGTTATTTTATGGCGGTAGCTCTAAAACTTGCGTGAAGCAACTCGAAAAAATCTGAAAATATTTGAGATTATTTATTTCGATGCGATAGAAAACAGAACGATATCCTAGGTTGTTCATCAAATTTTATCGTCAGAAATACATTTTTTAAATTTGAATAATCTAAAAAAATTTCGTTAATTCAAAAGACCTCAAGTTTTTTCAGAATTTCCGAATGCTTCAAAGCTTTAGAAAAAATTTATCAACAATTTTAAAAATTTAGTCCTGGAGGAATTCGGGAAATTTTTCCTATCTTCTATCGTATTGAAATAAACAAATCAAATTTTTTCAAACTTTTTTAGACGAAATCAAATCATTTATGTATGTTTTGTCAGTTTTCTTATTATTTTACACAATATTATTATTATTAGGTATTAAATTGTTTATCACTGAAGTACTCGAGGATATGAACTAGTTGCAGTGGGCATTAAATTTAATAATTAACAAATGTTTTTTTATAAATATTTCAGATGTCATTTTGAACTATGAATTGTTAAACTTTAATTTTCTGTGTTAAATTGTGAAACAGAGGAAAATACGAACGATAATTTGTTTATGATGAAGTTCATTGCTAATTCTTTAACGTCGGTTTTTCGTCTACAGAAGCGCAGAAAGAGATACGTATGGTGCGCAATACATATAGGTTGTAAATTATACGTATAAGATATTTTTTTTTTCAAATTTATTGTAAAAAATAATCAAGCAGACATTTTAATTAATTAGATTACTGATTGAGTAGAAATGATATTTGTGATCCAAATCGTCACTCACGTCAAAAACTACATGACTTTATTTATGGAAATTTGATTATGTCAATTTCTGTGCAAAAATGAATACTGTCCGCTACGACAGCAGCTCTCAAATTATGAATATCATTATCTCATCCGGCGCCTAAATACGATTTTAAATGCTCTAAAGAGAAAAAATTAAATATTGGCGTAGTTCATAACTGCTTTAATCACATGGAAATCCAATGAGACCGATAAGTAATTTATTGTGGCTTATAAATATATTATTCGATGAGAAGCTCCAACGGTTTGACTAGGCCACTGTATACGCTGCCTTTTCCATATATTGGGTAGCCATTCTCGTATTCTGCAATCACCTCGAACTTTGAAACATTTTTAAAATCTTCCGGTTTGAAACATTTCGATTGTAGTTTTACATAATGATTGCATCTTCCGTCGTCGAGCGTGATCAAGGAAATATCCTCTCGCCAGCAAGCGAGAGTCACACAATAATTGCCTAGATCGTCTTCGAAAATATTATTGACTGCGGCTACAGTATTAGTGTAACGCTTACAGTACATGTCGGGATCTAAGAATTGTTTGACTTTTCCATCCAAACCTATTTTTAGCAGATACTTGTCAGTATAGAATGACGGATTTTCGCCATTGTTAGCGATTTCAGTCAGAAATCCTTCGCCCCGGGGCAAGTTGTAGATGAGTCGCCTAACCTCTCCAACGGAATATAGATTTTCCATGTAAAGGGTGACCGGAAACCATTCGATCTCTTGGTCGTCGAGCCTGAACTGCGTGCATTGCGACATCGTGTAGTTTTGTGGGATGCATATGCCGATCATTCCGTTGGCCAACGAGATCGAAGCGTAACCTACGTGGTAAACATTCCGAACGTGAGTCAAATTACGCCTTTGACCTGAAAACATAAAATATTTATCTCATTAGCATTATTAAGTAGCGAAAATTGAAACACGTGTTTTTTTTTTCTTTAGCAATTACCGTTGGGTTGGATAAGTGCCACAGTCATGGTGCTACGGTCCAGAAATACCGCGGACTCGCTTGCTATGTACAAATAGCCTTGGTCCTTCGACAATGGATGAACAAGCACAACGGGAGGGGATAAAGTGGAAGGAAGCAACGTGTCGACCTTTGCAACTACTCCGTCGGCATCGATCGATGCTCGAAGAACTTCCCAAGACGTGGGCATCGAGTTATCTGAGAATGAATTATCATCGTAGACAATTGACACAATTTCAAAATCATCTTCTCCTTTCTGATACATTGGCCAGTTGTGATCATACTTCACCGCGACATCACTCTGAAAGAAAAAATTGTCAAAGCCTTCCTTAATAGTCTCCGGTTTGTCCCATTTGATTGTTTTTCCTTCAATCAAGCGATCGAGATCTCGCGAACTTTTGGTGGTTGTGACTTTGCAATTTGAAAAATCGACAATGCTGAGTCGGAATCTATATTTTTCCCACTCCGGGTCTCCTACTTCCTCGGCCCAACGCACAATCGCTCGATCCCTGCCAAGCGAATCGATTTTAATGAAATCCAAAATGAGTCGGTCGCCGAGCTCGCTCTTTATCGTAAAGGAGCACTTGTCTTCCTTCGGGCTGCCACCATAGAAATCTCCCTTCACTCGGTATAGCACACAACCTAGTCGAGATACACTATTCCGGTCGGGACACACGCCGTAATAGACGGTGCCATTTTCGACGGCACTCGGACTGATCTTTATGAAATTTTTGCCAAGCTTGCGTTCGAACGAAAAACTCCGATAGGCCGAGACGGGTGAAATCGAGCCGAGTAAAATAATGCCGCTGAGGACCGCGACGATCGCGACAAACGACGTCGCGAGGGTCGACATCGTCGTGGTTGAAACTAAACTGAATTACGACTTCTTTTTGCCTTGATTTTATATTCTTGAAAAAGCCCCCACAAAAAGTCTCGACACTCGTTTAATTATTCAAGTGATTCATTAAAAATTCGATAGTCTTTTTTTAAGCCATGATCTTGCATGACCTTCATTATAGTAGATCTCTTTTGGGTCAATCCGCATTAATTAGCGCTGATCAATGAAAAGAAAAAAGAAAGACAATTGAGTTTTTTTAATGCACATGTGTACGTTTTACTTAATAATTCTTTTATATAGTTTTCATGTTTAGATGCTATAATTACTTGAAGTACGTATGGAAATTATTTAGAGTGCTTGGTTTTCTTTCTCATTGTTTTATAATGATTTGTTATATCACTATTCTGCAATATTTTTATTTAAAATATAACAGTACACGAATTTATTTGTAATGAGATTCAAAGATTTTGAAGCTCTATAAATCTTTCAATTACGTTAATTTTTCACTGTTAGCATTGTGTAGTTTTGTCTACCAGTAATTTAAATGCTTCATCACTTTTAATTTTACCGCGTGATAAAATTCTTAATTTTTCTCCTCAGCCGCAAATTCTACTCCTCGGCTCGCAAAAATATTGTGCAGATCAGATTCATAAGGGCCATAAAGGCTGCGGCAATGTAAAATACTGCGTGCCAAGGCTCGGCGTCCACCTGTCCATGAGAAAAACAAAGAAAAACAAACATTTCCGATTTACTCTCGATTCTACTGTGCGGTCTATATTATCGGGTAAATTTTCTTTATTCTAACCACTCGAGGAAATTTCTAATTTTGCTCATTTATATTTAAAAATCCTTTCAAAAATACTTTACGATGGAGAAAAATGACTTTTTTAATCGATATCAGTAAAATTATTTGAGGAACAATAATGCAAAAAAATCTTGCCATCGACTACTTATTTTTGTAATATTGAAATGAGAATAATTTAAATTTTTATCAACCAAATTAATGTATAAGAATGTGAACATTTCTGTTACCATATTACATATTTCATTGAACTCGTGATTGTTTCGAGTTTTATTAATTTTTTCAATGACGCAATTTCGATGTTACGCTGAAATCTCTCATCAAAACGAAGCTGTTGATCTGTGAATTTAAAAAAGTGGTCATCTAATGCATCTTACCCTAAGTATCATTGAAATGAAATTACGGATGATTATGAAGCAATATTAGTTAATATGGCATAACTCTTGAGGTAGTAATTCATCAAATGAACATGCTTCGCAGATTATATTTGATTGAAGTCTATCGAAGCTTAAGTTCTTATATTTGCCATTTTCTTGAGCTGCAGCCATTTTGTACAATTTTTGACAAATGACTTAATGCGTTAAAAAAATTACTGAGTCAACATTCGTTTTGGCCTGTAATGGCCGAGCAAATATGATATAAGCTCTCGTTCATGAATGAATCGTCGATGATCATTTTAGAACACTCAAATGGCAGCTCGTCAGCTCTGCGTTATAAAAAATAAACAGAGCAGAGACCATTAGGAAATAAATATTATAATTTATATACTGTAATTGGAACTTTTTTTAAGTTTCTATTCTATTTATTTATTATGACAGGAGAAGCCTAATAATTTAAGGGGATATTCCCATTGCAAATTGTAAAAAAAATCACTTTTTAAATTTTATTTTTTTTTTGAAAATTATAATTTTTATTCATTCCGGGCCTTTTGGGTATTGTTTCTGACATATTAAACTACATAAAAAATTTTTTTATGGGACTTAAGACCCATTTTGTTGGCTGTAGGCGGAATTTGCTGAAATCCGTGTTTCGGCTCTTGGCAGCGATTGAGATAAAACTACTGGTCCGATCTTTACGTTTAACGTCTCGTTTTAATCGTTACAACTTTCTCTAGGAGACAAACCTCTATAAAATTGATATTTTCAATTTTTAAGATTTTGAGTCTTTCTTAAAAAAATGCTCTTTTCGGTGGTTATGGGGGTGAATTCACCCCTACCAAGTTGATCAAATTTGTGACAAGGACA